GATAAAGCTTTCTCAGTAAAAGACAACAAATTCCTATACAGTTTACTGCCATGTAAGTAATTAAAGGAGATCCTCCTGATGGAATGGCCTTTTTTATTCTAAATGAGGAATCATGGTGTCTCTACCTGGAAGCCATTGTGTTTGTCGACAACTTTTAACAGAGTGATGGTGAAAAACTACACTTACTTTCCAGAAGGGAGAACTGATGAGGGAAGTCACACTGGAAGACAAATCTGTAGGAATTGTGTTATTTTCCACTACATTAAAAGAAAAACCCTATGAGCACATCTTGAAATCAGAAAGACTATTTAGAAGCTTTTCTGCTTGTTTCAAGAGTTTTTAGGTGAGAAATTCCCATGTGCAACCCATTCCCATCTCTTCAAGAGGCAATTCATAAACAGCACTTACAAGATGCAAGACCAAGATAAGATAAATACAAACTTCGTACTAGATGCAGCAGAGTAATCTGGACAGCTTCTAATTGTTTACTGAGTAGGATCAGGAAATCACATTGGAAATCACCTTATTACTACTTACAGACAAGTGTTTCTGAGAGACAGGCTATTCAATACTAATATAAAGAAGATAAACACAGAGGAATTGCTGAATTAGGAGAAAATAAAGGAAGAAAATTTTCAGCATCAATTAGTTCTGGTTAGAAAAGTGTGTTAGGTTCTTTCACTAATGGAAGAAGGTCTCAAATTTAGAAAGTACCTGAAGGAAAAGCTAAAATGTATCACTGATCTTTAAAACAGACCTAGTTTGGATGTCTAAGGTTATGGAACTGTGCTGGTCATTTATGTCACATTTGTTTAGTCAGTCCATTCCAGTTCATAGTTACTGTCATTTCCACTGACCACACAAAATTTTAGAGTAACATGAAGAACGAGAAATCATTCAGTTCCTCTGTATGTTGGTTTGTTTGTTTGTTCTTTTTTTAATTAGCAGACTGGGAGGGGAGAAACACTATTTAACTGTTTCTGCTGAGACAAGGGGCATCATCCCTCTTGTCTGAGTATGTGGTTGCTGCCAGTCAGCACTAAGTCATGCACTGGCCTGACAGTGCACAAATAAGCAACTGTCAGAGAGATACTGGGGCCAAGGGTGAAAGATAAAATCTGATAATTAGAAAGCACAAGTCAGTGGTTTTACAGGGTGGGGGATGAAGAGACCTCATAACATGGGGAAACCTGAGGTACTGCGCAATAGTGTCATCGAAGAATAGGAAGGGAACTATACTACGTATGTTGGAAGTCTGTAGATACTTCCATCATGTGAAGATCATGATTTGTCTTGCTTTTTCTGAGTTTTTTTTTAATACAAACAGAAGCAATGTGAGGTAGAAGTGATTGCTTTGTAATTACATTCTTTTTTGTAAACTGGAACTGCTCAATCTTGTCTCAGATTCATGTTTTAAGTATTTAAAATTGGTTAAAGAACAGTTAATGCCCTAGGAGAACTCCACCCCATATTTAAAACTCATCCTCCTCTTCCTTCCCTAAAAAAATGTAACTGTGGTAGGTTTCCAAAAAGGGTTAAACACAGCTTACAGCTAATATTGCTTATATTCAGTAGGATAAAATCCATGTGGGTTGCAATAAGAAATTGAAGCATCTAATTTTTATGACATTTATTAATTCCAGCTTGTACCTGGAAATCCAAGTAATGTTTGCCAAAAGTCAATGCATGAAAATTATGATTTCAGGGTAAGAACTTGAAGCTGCTGCCAAACTATGAATATTTTTTCTTTATTATGACAGAAAAAACATTGTAGACATTAAAGATCATTAAACTACCCTTTCAAGCAATAACATGTCTAGTAGGGGAGCATTATACAAAGTACATGCTGTTTACAACAGCTACCATAAAATTTGCTGCAATCTCATTTCATATTTGAAGTCCTTTAAAATACAAAACCTATATGGAATTTCAACTACCATTCAATGGCTTTTAAATGTATCTAATTAAAATCCTTTCCTAGGGCAAGTTCTAGCAGCATGTCCAAGTGCACTACTAAATTTTTTTCAGCAGATCAAGAATTTCATAGGCATATAAATAGCATCTATTGCAAATTTACTGTTTTCATTATTGTCATAGTACCTTCCTACAAATCCTTCTTAAAGATTATAAGAATAACATTTCCTATTTCAAATGTACAAGACTATTATGTACATAACAGCTGTCCTTTTCCTTCCAGAATGGAACACCTGATGTCACTATTTGTTAGCTGTTGTTAACACCCACTTGAATCTATTTAGATCTAAAATATTACTTCAGAAAGTCAGATTCTAGAAGAAAATGTACACAGGGCTATAAAACTAAAAGTAAGTTTTTTGTCATTGCACACACTGGTGCCTGCTTACACATTTCATTACTGTCAAGGTGGAAAGTAAAGCTAAAGTTTCCTTATAATAGACCAATCAGTAGTTTTATTGGGGCACTAAATATGGCCTGCCTTGTTGGTAATGCAAAAAATTACTTAACAAATAAAAATGTTTTTTACCAGGGAATGAAATGCAATTTGATTAATTTTCTCCAGTTTGACATCTGTAAGTTTGACATGCATTATATCACACAAACAACAGTTACTTGTAGCTGAAAATCTGAAAATTAACATTTACCATCTACTTTAGTTGTAAAATTTGATTTGGTTCAGAAATTCATAACAATTTGCAGGCAGGCAAAGAAACCATACAGAACATGTTTAAAGTAGATATTTATCACACCTAGGCAATGAAACTACATGAGTTGAATATTCATTGTTTTATTTGTACTTTAGAGGTTGTTCATGAAAAAGTTATACATCTGCAAGGAAATACAGGCAGCAATACAAGGCATCTTTATATCCCTGTGGATTTGCAGAGATTACAGTACTACAGCTTCAATTATAAAAAAATCCTACACTATAATAACTATTTCACCAAGAATGCAATTCATATAGTGTCCAAGTTCTGAAGATTGTGTTAAAAAGACTAATAAAATCACACACTCACTAACTGGAAAGCCCTTTCTGCTCTAGATGAAAAGATTTGGAATACACTATAAAACCAAAATACAGACATTTCCTTTCTGAGTACAAAATGTACAATGTGACAAGTAACAAAAACCTTGCTTTGCACAAAACTATCACTTTAGTGAAAAATAAGGGAATAAAGGCAATTTTTTATTTTCTCATTATAAATATATTGAACATAACAGAGGAGGATGAGATTCTCAGACGATTATAAGAAAATTAAAGGCGTACTTATTTCAATGTCAAAAAGCTACATGCCTAAAAGAATTTTTGGAGTGAGACTTCATACTGTTCGCATTTAAACAGCCTCATTATTCCTTTTCCGAAAACAAGTTTATCATATTTTGAATACCTCAACTATTTTCATTAGAGATAATTGTTCAAATAAAGACAGAATATGATACTGAATTAAAGAAAACAAGGTCTTTTCAAATACAGAAAATGCAACACTGAGCAATTTCTTTTCACCCCCAGAGAAGAGTCAATATTAAATCCTACCACAGCTCTCACTTTCAAAACAACACATGCAGCAGTGGGATCTCTATGGCAATCACCATTTTACTACACTTTGTTTATAGTAACAATAACATTTCTTTTTTGGAAGGGGATTCCCACAAAGAAAAGAAATCACAAAGGAAATCTATCAAGTTTAAACAATTATGCAAAAATGTAAACATTTGTTCTTTGAAAAGAAATCCTTTTCCTCATTTTTCTTTCAACTACACTAACTCCAGTTCAAAAAGCCTACAATGATAATGTTAAGAAAAGTACCCATCTAATGTTGGTTTGAAGGACTTCATAAAATAACCATTGGCAATAGGCATTTATTTCAATAATCTGACTCTTGCCATATTCTCAGAATTCAGTTTTCAAATCAACTACACAAGAAAACCATCAAAAACATCCCAGTTGCTCTTAATTTAAAGGCAAGAAGTTCTACACAGCAAAAGCAGACTCAAGAAACTCACTGAAATTAATCTTTCAGGCTTATTCAGTCATGCCATTTTGAAGTGTTACAGAATAACCCATCTAGCACAATACCTAGTATTTATTAAAGGAACCAGAAAATCCCCACTTTCAAGCTTAAATCATCTCATGTGAACTCAGTAAAGACTGCAATATTACTGTGAACTCAGCACAGACTGGAATAAAAGCAAATCTGGCTTACATGTAAACATATAAGTAAAGGCAATTTTCTCCAATTTAAAGAAATGTTTTCTTAGATTAAAAAGTAGGGGCAAATACTTTCCCTTAATACCTTTGGATTTTAGTTGTTGTGGTATACAACACCGCAAAGTGTTATATCTTTTTTCCAGTAAGGATTCTAATGGTGACACAGCTTCTCAAACAAGGCATGTCAGAAATTAAAATCAGATCCTCCAACGGAAAAGGACAAAACACGTAAAATAACTTCTTAACAAAGGGGACATAGCATGAAAAAGTTATCCTAAAGCAACAGAGAGCTGAGACAGGAAGAAAAATTCATTTCTTCTTTGTCCAGTATGGGGATGGCATGAGAAGGATTTCTTTTTTAAAAACACTGTTCTGAAGATACCACATTCTGAAATGATTAGAACATAAATCCCCATAGGAAGGACATGGTCAGCCTCAGACAATTTTGTTGTGAATGTTACACTAGCCAAATCATTCCAGCAGTTTACAGTGTACCATAAAATATTTACACAAGCTATGAACTATAAAATATTTTCACATGAACTATAAAATATTTACACTATCAACATCAGTTAGGAAAGAATGATGTGCTGTCAAGCTGGTATGACCCAGGAGTAAAGATTTTGTGGTCACAGATTAAATAAAACTATTGCAAATCATCTGGAAAGCTACAGGGACTATTAGGTTAAACAAATTACGGCTTCCTGGTCTCTTGGATGGTAAATGTAACCAGGAAAGCATAGCTTATGTGCTTTAAGCTGGGTTTTACCAACAAGATAAAGAAAGGTTAGGCTCATAATCAAAGTGTACTGACCTCTCTGAATGTTCCTTCTAGCAAGGTGTCCAGATGTTGAAGAGGAGCTGGAGTTTTGTCTTTGAATCGTGTCAGCAGTCGCCGCTCAATAGCTCGAAACTGTACAGCCCTTTCAGATAACAGCTCCTGATATTTCTCAGCATTCAAACGTAGCTGCAATTTAAGGGTTTTCAAGAATTTAAGGGTAAATACATTTCTGTATGCACATTCCAAATGAAATGGGAGAAGGATAGGAAAATTTCTAAGACAGCGTAATACTCAAATATGATGTCATTTATGCCAGTTTCTTTATACACCTTGTAAAGATTGACACTTTGAAGAATTATCATGTGCCACTGATATCAAAACTAATTGTCAACAGCCACAATAACCTCTGAAAATGCATAAATATCTCATTGAGAAGCCAATTAACAAGAAAGAAATTTCACCAAGACACAAAGGCTTCCTCTTGTTTTGGTGTGCTATTTACAACATATACACAGTGTACTGGACTTGATATTCATTGCAGTAGAAAGCAAAGGGTTATTCCCTTAGCATGAATAGAAGTACTAAATTCTGTACAGTTCAAATGATTGTCTTTTTCTGAAGTTAAATCCTTTTTCCCTTTATCTATACTGATTAGCTAACACCAACAATATTCTTGAAGTGTTCACAAAAGAACATTTAAAAGAAAAAATGATTAGAAGATAAAATGGGAATTTTTATTATCTGGGTACTTGATGTACTTTGCAGTACATGCCTTGAAAATAAAAATTACTAAAGATGAGTCTTTCAAAAAGCTGTGATACCACCATACAGCTGATGTTATAACTAGCAGAAGAAACATCAAGACACACAGCTGTCCAAATGCAAGAAAAAGTGGCCCAAAATGAAGAGAACAGGTAGGTTTCTTAAATTTACATACCAGATTATATTTTAAAATAAGCAAATGTCATTCTGCCTGTACATTATTATGAAAAACTGCTCAGAGGTTCTATGGAAAAAACACTATGAAGTTTTACTAGAAGTAGTAGGAAAAAGGGGACATCTCAGGTAAGGGAAAACTCAGGTAATATTCGCCTAAGCTTGCCAAAAAAACAGTGTGCTGAAACTAACAGGAATGGAAGCATAAGAATGCCTTTAATAGAACATTTGACATTTTTTTTAGGTCAGATAATTACAGTGAAAAATCAAACATTTCAAAAGAGCCAGCTGCAACATAATTAGAGTCTAAATTAGCACCCCAGATATCACACCTGTATTTAGAACTTCAATGTATTTAAGCTTGTTATACTATCTAAGGAAGCCTAGGTTTAAAGTATTTCTACAATAACCATCACCTTAAAAAAATTAACATCTTTTACTCTCAAATTAGTTGAAAGACAATAGAATAATACTCAAGAGCTTGAAATATAGACCAGGATGTATGCTGATTACTCAAAAAATCCCAGAAAACCCCAATGACAACTTCCATCTTTCTGTGTGGTGGCAGCTACACCTCACAGAATTTGGGAGCATGAAAGAACATCCAGTATTATTTCTCATTCTTGCATAAATATGTTGTTGCTTTTGCCCAAACACATGAGTTTAATAGAAATTTTCAAATAGCTATTTCTCTTCTTTTATCAGAAAGATATGGGGGAGAGAATGCATGCATTTTATTTTATTAGCTATTTCTACAAGCTAGCTGAACTACTGCAGATTTTTCATTGTCACCTGCATGGCCAAACAGGAAAAATTAATTACATTTCTTTTATTTCTGGTTTGGCAAACTTCCTTGAGCCTCCAATGCTACTTCTACAAGGGCAGATTTTTTAAAATCAGAAGGGACTTCCCATTACATACAACTTTGTATTTTCTGAAAGCCAAATGCCTGTGGATACTGTAGTTATAATCTGATTAATCATTGCACTTAAATCCAATTTTAAACTAGCAGACCCTTAGCAACTCATATATTATGTAACATACCTCAAAATGTCGATCAATTAGTTCAAAATATTCTTGCAGGGGAATGGAACCAGAAAAGGTACATGCAAAGTCCTTGCAGTTTTGCTTCTTGAAATGCTCTTCTAGTCGGTGTATGAGCTCTTTTGTTACCAGCCAAAGGTCTTCCATGTACATTTAACGTGTTAAAGAAATACTCATACTTTATTGATTGTATTACACTTCATTTTAAATACAACTAATATTAGTAGAAAGTGATTCTTATCCAACTACATACTATGACTTTGGAAATACAGTTCAGTGTAGAAATGAAAAGCATTTATATAAACTGAAGTGAAAAACCAGATCCTGATAGCTAGTGTTATCTGTCCCAGTAAATTAATTTATCTCATCAGATTTTTCATTTAGTATATTTCAAAGTATGAGGCTAGTGGAATGAGATTTTCTTTCTAGTTCATGTTTGTATAACCCTCTCTCCAGCTTCTAGAGAATCAGAATTAACTAAGATAAATGTTCGTTTCATTAACATAATTAACTGCTATTAACTAATAAATGTCGAGAAAAACATTGTGGAAAATCATAGCAGCCTTTTAATATTAATTTCTTGAGATAAAGCATTTCCAAGCATGAGTTCCTTACATCTTTTCATTACACATCTGCCAATAATTAACAAAAAAAAAATAGACAGAAATGCAGCTATGGGTATTTGACACTAAATCGTTCCTTTTTTTGCCTTTGTTAAAAAAGTTCACAGTAAATCAAATTAACCAGAGTTCTTTTAAACTTGAATGTACTTATTTTAAATTTTCTCAACATTAGTAATTCAAGATTGTTTGACATTACCACTGGCATCATTCCCAGGATATGTATTTCACTGAATACAGAATGACAAATTCTGTTTACACTGTAACAGGAAAGAAGCAAGTTTTATTTAAAAACACACTTGTTAAAGAAAAGAACACCATCTGCAAAAGATAGCATTCGACCTAATATCCATTTTTTAAACACTCACAATGCAATGGCTGGACTTACTTGGATGTACCATCATACTTTGCCTTAAGTGATTTTTCCTTGATGGAAATTAGCTCAGATGTTTTCAGGCCAAATCAACAGTCATTCCACTTATAATTGACATATCTAATACATTAATGGTTTAAAATGGACAAAACTAATTTCCTCCAAATTGTGCATTTAGTTTCCATATACTGCTTGTTGGTCAATACAAACACAATCTAATTTAACCATGGCCTGAGTAGAGAACACTGCAATCATTTGCTTTACATGGTCTTCCAAGTCTCAAAAAAGGCAAATTAGATTTAGAAACATTACAAAACTGAGAATCTGTAGTTAAACTAAACACATGCTTCAAACAGGAATACAGTGAAAAAGAAAAAAGAAATAACTGTGCTTCTGTTCATCCCATGCTTTTATGATGGTTAACCAACTTGAATTAGCTTTTTTATAAAATAAGCTCCATTAAAGGAAATTAAAACAGATTTTCAAAAAATTCTCTATCAGAAAAGCAGGAAACTGAGGGGTACCAATAGATTAAATAGGTTACATCCTTACACTTTTATTAAAAGTCAGTTTTAAAAATTTCAGACAAAATACCCTTAAAGTTTTAATCTAGCTGGTGTGAGCTGCTTTTTAATATGTATCTCCTGTCAAGATGTACTTCAGGCTGGGCTTCTTTGCAGCATTCTTGACAAGTTGAAGTAATATCTTCAATTGCTACACTGGTCAAAATGGATTAGCTAATAGAATTAAAAACTAACATGAAATCAGATGTTGCTCCTGTTTGCAGCTTCAGCAATGAAACCAAACTGAACCTGACAACCTTCACTGCTACATGCAACTCTTCCCATTCAGAACTTAAGGTCAACTTGATATGGAATATTGGAAAAAGAGGTCTTCCTCCATTGTCTATGATAAACTCCTTTCATGGAAAACCAGAAATAAGGCTTCATCTTAAAAACTTATTTTACTTTTCTGAAATACCATTACTTCTAGTCAAAGTCTAGTTATCTACACATACAGATTTCTTTTTGAAGAACATTTCCTCAATTAAAATGCTACATAACCACTTTTACAAAGTACAAGATCAGTGCTACTTACACAGTGCAGTAAGTACCTATCAAATAACACACAATTTCATCTACATTCATTAGTTTCACAGATCTGTGCAGTGAAGCACAATCATTTCAGTATCATGATATTCTACCAAACAATGCTTTTGCATTATCAATAGTCTCTGTTTATAAAAATATTCTGAATTATGTTTGACTATCAGAGATTTTACAAATATTTACCTTTAAATAAGTTTTAGCTAGGTAACATTTCAAATGAGCAAATTTCCTGTAACACCTTCTCTAAACAGCTCAGTTCAATGCATAAAGTGGATGCTGGAAACAGGCTGCTAACATAGAAAGTAACATCATACTACTCATTTGTTTTCTGAAGCTAGGATTCCCATACACAGTAAATGAGTAGCCACACTAAGAGAAACAGATATTGTGAAGCTCCTTTGTAAAGTGAACTTCACAAGTAAAGCAGTGTGGGAAAGTTTATTCTAAGACTGTAAGCGTCATTCCTTGCTGGTGAATAAACAAACCTGAGAGGAAAAGATTGAGGATTGTGGGTAGGGGTGCATGAGATTAAAAGTTATGGCCTTCAGTAGAAACTAAAATACATTCATTACATAGAAACAAATTTGTCCTTACAGCAATCAGATTAAATAACCATGCAAGAAAAAAAATCCAAATCTAAGATTTAAACTGCAGTCAAGGAAAAAGTTATTTGTAAATCAATTCTTTAGTTTTGAAAAACCATCATTGCACTTCTACTTTAGTTAAAACTATTTAAGATCCCTTATTTAAAGAAATACTAAAACCAAAGTAACAATAAAACAGCATGTAAATAATGCATACAAAAAACAATACAGATGCATTTGATCCTTAGAAAAGTAAAATTCTTGGTACATGATTCTTCTTGATTCTTGGTACAATGAAAATTACTCTCCAGATGGTTTTTGTTTTTAACACACATGATTACATTAGAAAAGGTATTAAATATTATCTCGCAGCTCACAACTGACCCCATCAATACTTATATAGCCCATCATGAACATGGATTTCTGAAAACAGTATGGAATATTATCCCTGTGTTGAAAAAATTTCATATCGACAAACCAAATTGAGATTTTTCACTCAAAGCAGTTCCCACTAAGCATTCACACAGTGTTCCAACTGAACCCTCTGCAGTGCCCAGTTGTTTTTCTAGCTTTTCAATTTGTAGTCTACTGTATTAAATGAAGACTTTGTGCTCTGCTGGCATGGAAAATGCTAAACACAATTGAATTTATTTGGTTCCAAGCACACGCCAAGAAAGAGTTTCGCAAATTGAGCAGTTGTACAGACCACAACCATAAACTCTTGAAAATTAGGAGAACCTATCTTTTTCCAAGAGCACAAATTCAGGTAGCTGGAACAGGACTATTTTAATCACAAACTGCTCCATACAAGAGATACTGGACCAGGTAACAACACATCTGCATGTCTGTTCCCACACTCTGTAAACATAGTAAGAAGGATCTTGAATCCATAATCTCTTACTTACAAAGATATACAGGCATCTAAAAAGAAGAGATGGGCATTTAGTTGGATGTCGAGAAGCAAATAGGGTCTGATGCCTAATTTAAGTCAAGGATTACTCAGTCAGTGGGAAGTTCAAAACTTACTTTTTAATCCCTTTCAAAAATTTCAGTAGGTGACTAATTCCAAACACAGATGTTGAAATTCCTTTAAGATGAGAGATTTTTCCATTATTATAATGACAGTATTAGTTTATGAATAAAAAACATTGCTAAAAGCTTTAAGAAAATCCAATTTCTTCAATTGGATTTTCTTAAAGTGGTAGTGTACTGTATTTTGAGAATGATTTTTTTATTTTATTACACAATTTTATATTTAAGAGGAGGTAATAAACTATCAAACTTTGAAACTCCTGCATTAATTTGCAAACACTGATTATCCTTCTTTGTATGATCCACATTTTCATTTTGTGTATATTTGTGATGATCAGGCTTCTTTTACTCTAATACTGATAGAACTTACGTGATGTTTTTGAAGCAAGAAGAGTGGTTTTTGAACCTGTAAGAAACTGAAATCCCAGAGCATTTGCATGGTCACCCTCAGACAGATCAACAAAATCTGAAAAAGAAAGTTAAACACCATTTTCTGTAATTCTATGCTGGCATTCGGCAAATCTCAATCCATAGCCAGGACTATATCAATCTTTGCACAAATAGATGAAAGAGATTGTTTCCCTTCTAAGGGTTCAAAAGTAACAAATATCAGCAGTTTGGTACACAATTCCTTCATTCAGCCAAAGGGAATCCTGCTTCCCTTCCCTGGCCTGAATACAAAAGGTTGGTTTCCCAGAGGTTCACTCTGTGCATTCTGAAAGAACTGCAATATGATGTAGAGCCCAAAGACTACCACCTTTCACCATATGCAAGGTTACCTTTAATTCAAATATTTATGCAAAATTTTTGCAAAAATTATCAACAAAATGGTTAAGCCCACTCTCTTTTTAGCTTTCAGCACAGAGCAAAACAAACATCCAGTTTGCTAAAACAAACATCTAGTTGCTAAAACTAGCTACTCTGAAATGTTTATCCAAGTCCACCTTTCTTTTCATTCCATGTATTGGATTATACCAATTCAAAAGGTTTAATTTTAGAGTACCATATTTGAAAAAATACTCTTTGTCACCTCTACTCCCAGTACTTCTCCTGAAAATACATCAAAACAGGGAGAAATGATATAACTTTCATTGCTTTCACCAATAATTCAAATTCTGTTCATAGATTACATCACCATATTAACATAATAAACAGCATACTCTTTTTATTTAATCACTGTAAATGGAATGAAAAAAAATCAGAACAATTTAATGCCCTCTTAGTCCTATGCTTGTGTTGTATTCTCAACAATGCATCCCTAGGTTAAAAATAAAATGTGCTATTCTGAAAGCATTATTGTTTAGCCATAATGGAAGCCCATTATTAAAACCTCAAAATAGACACCCTTAAAAAAACAACAACACAAAAAAAAAATACCACAAAACAAAAAAAAGCAACAAACCAACAAGTATCACTGTTCTCAAATACAGTGTATAAGCTTTCAAAGAGATCCAGCTACTCCTTAAAAACAAAGTTGTTGGTTCATACAGCTCTCAGCATATTGTTCCAGAACCTTAGTCATCTGAATTTCAAAAACTTAATCACTGCCAGGCTGAACTTACTCACAATCACTTTCTAAACCCTGTTTATTAATTTCTTCTTGTGCTAATATGATCATCTACACCCATGATATAGCCACAAAATATTTACTGAAGTCAACTGTATTCTCTTTTTTTTGCCTGTGTATTATTAAGCTAAATGAGTCACTTCCTTTTAATTCTCTTGAAATCTCTAGATAACATTTTGCTACACTTTTCAGTTATATATGTTATATTTTATTTAATATCAGCAACTAGCACTCAGTTTGCCAGTTTGATATTGGTTTCCTGCATGGAAACATTTTGTGTAATGCATCCTCAGTTTTTATTTGTTTGCTTGTGATTACAACATATTGTACAACAGAGTATTCCTGTGGTAACTTCCACCTCCCCTCTCTTCCAAATTGTGAGCACATAATTACAGAAAAACTTATTTTCTTAGCATCACACTTTATAGTACTCAATTTCATTCTTCTTTTCCCAGTGCTAAGTGGAAATTAACTCCTCCTTCATGCTACTTTAATATAATGCTGAAGAGAGAACATAGCTTGGGTTTGCACATTAGAAAATAATGCTATATCTTCTTTTTGGTCCAAGAAGGCTACTGAAAGTATTAAATATAGTCAGCTTCAGACATACATCAAATATTCTACAAGTCATCCTCCAAAGCAACTATACCCTTTATGTACAATATTTACCACTTCTGCTTTGCCCTGCTCACCGTTTTTTAAATAAATGCCAATGTTTTCCCTCTTACAACACCTCTTAAGCAATTTTATGTAAAATTAATGTCTGCATACATAAAAATTAGATCTATACCATGTAAAGAACTCTGCATTTTTACCAGAGGCAGGTATACTATCCCAGGTGTAAAATTATTATTATATTATGCCATCATTTCTTTCAAAATATATTTTTTAATATACTAACATGAGCTTTTAAATTACCTCATTACTTTTCATGGACAAACCATTCCTGTTGCAAGCTTCTAACACCTTCAATATTTAAAAACCTACCTGGAAAAATGGTGACAAAACTGATGGGAGGTTTGTTGGTATCAATAGTTAGCTTGTGGTGTGCTGCTTTTGAAGGCTGAGCTGGAAAGCAAACTAACTTCAAAGGCAGACTGAAGTTACACTGTGAAACTCTTGGTATTCCTAAAATGAAAGAACACAGATTCATTTTTCATTTCCACATTCTGAATACAGGATACTTCATACCACTGTCCTCAAAGAGGTATAACAAGATACTTAATGTGATTAAGCAATGCATTAAAACCAAACTATATAAAATCCTCCTTTTTTTAAATTTTCCACCTAAAATATCTTAAATTTGAATACTTCTAATTACCTTCTCAAGTGAAGATTTTTATATGTATGGGAAAGCAAGAATTATTAACAAAACTGCACACTGTATTTATACTAATTATCATGCAAAGGAGATTAGTTTTATTTAATTCTCTAGACAAACAATACCACTTTAACATAAACAACAGCTGTGTGATTACTCACGATGCTTCAAATACAGAATTGAAGCATCAACATATTCATCAGGAATATCACAAATAAATGCTTTTTATGAGTATATTTACTCTTTTTTTATATACTCAAATAAAATCTATGTAACCTTCATATTGTCTGTCAGAATTTTGTGGCATAGAAAAAGAATGTATCCAATGGAGGTTATTACCCAAAAGTATATTAAAATCTTTCAACTTATTGCATTATAATAAAACAACTGTAGAGTAAACTGGCTACTGTCTTGAATATTGGTATCTACTATCACAAGCAATTTCATCAGAATGGTGCAGGAGAAAAGAGGAAGTTTTAACTCTCACATTCAGAAAACACATTGGAGGTGTCAAAAATTTTCTCAGATATAAATACTATTTCAAATTGCAGGCATGTCAGCAATTGCCTGGTATGTTCTATGCAAAAGGCAAAAGTGCTCATTGCTATGAAATATGGAGTACTTGCTCTGTTGAGAAGACAAATTGTGGGGTTTTAAGGACAGTTTTTTGATGAAGCATTAACAGGGAAACGTTAATAAAATAGATTTTTAGAGACAATAAGTTACAGAGAGTATAAAAGAGAGTATAAAAATTGAGCTTAAACACCCAATAGCCATCCAAGAAACCCTTTCTGCTAGTAATTTTGTTTGTTTGCTGCTTCTCAGAGCTCTTCCAATGAAAAAATTACTTCTAAGAATCATCTCAGAGTAAAAATGCTACCATAAGGCTCAGATTATTCCCTGTGGCTGTCAATTCACAAGCTGTTTTGGCTGGCTGATAATGCCTCCAAGTAACTATTCTGCAGCAGTTTATAAATATAAAATCATAGAAAACTGAGCAGAAAACTCATTCATATTGAAGACAGGTCTTCAAAATTTGAGTATCTCCAGGTTCCAAGGAAAATTTCTAAAGGCATACTTGAAAATAAACCCATGATCTGTCAGACTGATTAATTCAACTGTATCTTCATCATCTGATAGAACTAAAATTTTTCTTGATGACATCGTAACACAGACACCTTAGTAAGTTAGATATGGAGACTTATCAACAAGAAAAAAATTAGTAGCAAAAGTAGGCGAAATTATTTTAATATATTTTTTATATTTGATACAAGATATTTTTCCTGGTTTTTCAGACCAGCTTTTTCTACTGCTGTCAGTCTGCCTCATCATAAACATAACTTTTCAATATTTCAGACAGAGGTCAAATCAAAACTAAATCAAGTCTTATCTAGTGTTTGGAGGAGACTGGGGAGATTTCTAGTTGATTAATCTAAAAGAGCTACATATAAGAAAAACAAACCAAAAAGTTGCAACAAAATTCATCACTACAGTGAAAACTTGCTGGGAAATATTTCAGGGTATTTCAGAATTGTAAATGGTAGTAATGAAACAAAGTAGTAGCCACATGAGGGAGTCAGAATTTCCTCCACACATTCCAGATATTCTGTCTAGCAACACATCTCACTTCATTTAGAGCTGTGATACTTCATGTGATACACAATTTTAGGAGTACAATAAAGAAAAAAGAAATGAAAATACAAATTCATATTTGCCTCTATTCTGAGACAAAACAGATGATGTCTAACATTATCTCATAAGGTACTAGTATTTAAAGGCATACTATGCACTTACCTGCCTATAAGTATTTTTATTTTAAGTTTTATTACCTATAAGTAATAAAACAGCCATATGCCCTGTAGATACTATTTCATTTCCAAATTCCTCATGCATTCATTTAGTTATATTTGAAATATAACACTAATGTGCATGACAAAAAGTATTAAAACTCAAATCTCCCAATTTAGGATTTTAAATATTCAGAGAATTAATATTCACTCTGGCACTGATGACCCTGAGTTTACATAGTCCAGTGGACCCTACAGTAACCCAAAAATATTTTGGCACAGATAATTTTACAAACTTTACTGTTCTCTGCAATATTCTTTTCAGGATAAGGCTTTCATCTTGTTTTGATATTTCTTAAAACAAAAACCCAATCTTCATTTTTAGAATACTATTCTTTCAAACTGTATACACTTGTTTTTATATAGTTTATTGATAGTTAACTTTTTAATTCCTTTGTCTAGCAGAGAAATGTCACAGTGTAACAGTTATTCTTGTCAAGAACAGGATCTTATTGAGATGTTTTGAGCATCTACTTCCCATACAACACATCAAGGTCCACCGACATATCTGGAAACCAGAAAAGGAGGGGAACTTTTGTTACAAGTTACCTTCTTGTTTCTTTTCACTGCACTTACTAAGCTCAAAAGAGCATAAGTATTGAAAAACAAGACCATACATACATCTAAAACTTCTGTTTATGAAAACTGCAAAACTGAAAACTCCCTTTCACTTGACCCCTAAATCTCTGACAATCATCTTTCTTACCTTCCCAAAACACAAAAGAATGTGTACTTAATATATTTATTTTTTAAGTTCAGAAAGTATCTTCTACAAGCACTGCATCTTTCCAACACATCTACAACTATACTGCAAAACCACCCTTCTCTCTTTTTAGTCTACACATACATAAGCTCATTTTCCAGTCTTTTTTTGTCTCTTAATTGTACCTTCTCCAAGAATTGTATCTACCACAATCATAGCTAAGTTTTGTATCGCTGGTAGTCTCAGACAGAAGCAGCCTTGCAGCCTTGAATAAGATGCTCCCAATAGGAATTGGAATGAAGACATGTTGTGACATCGTTCTCAGAGCTACTCAACCCAAACAGCATAAATGCCTAATAGCTGTTTCAGTTGCACCAAAGATATAATTTAACTGCCTAACTGCTAAAACTGAGAAAAAATAGATATAAGAAGGTATAATTGTTTCAAATTTCCAATCTCAATGTACAAGGATCTTAACGCTTTGAAAAATTCCCATTTATATATGAGAAAGTGCAATATGCTTCACCAAGAAATGTCCTTATGACCTTCTATTCTCTATATCCACACCTTCATAGCATCAAAACAAGAATAATAACTTATAGAAATAACAGGCAAAATAACAGCTCCCTTCCAAATCTGTTTAATTCAGCATACATTGCCACTCATAAAACTTAGCATTTTTTGCTTTCACTTACCTTCAGGATTGAGCTCTGCCATATGAACAGTAACAGGACAAAAGGGGGAAAAATGCATGAGATATTAGTTAAATGTAAAGAAAATATAAAGGAAGTGTAACAGGGTTTTAAGAACTTAAGCCATTTGTTAAGTAGACAATACATAAGGACATAATACTAGCCAAAAACCAGATATGAGACCACATTCATCAATAGTGCAACCCCATCCAAGTGACTGACTCATCAAGCTTTAGCTGTATGAATCCCACAGAGATAGACTGAAATGTGATTTGGCCACAAATATGGATATTTTAAAAACTAAAGAAAAAACATTCTCTGTTCAAATAAAATGAAGCCACAAAAGCACTTAAAGTTCATTTACTAGTATATTACACTTAAGGATTTGACTGCCAAATAACACTAGCGTTTGTATGGAATTCGACAGAAATATCTCAGATTCATAATTTAAATAAATACCAAAAAAATTAGCAGATCTTATTCCTAACCCTAATTATGTTCCTTTACCTAGAAGTCTTCAAAATTCAACCACCAAAGATAAGTTTTTAAATTTATTCTTCAGTTTCTATAATTCTGTTAGATGTCATGACTGCTTGGTCTTTTTTTTAATAGCATATAAACCATCAAACACATTCAAGATGCAAGATTTTCTTACTTCCCTGATCAAAAGGCTTGCAAAATCCAACTTAATATTTAAAATACAAATGTAAGTTTTACTAGCATTACCTGACATAAATAATTTTTATTAATATATATTTTATTAATATATATAAATATAAATTTTATTTTCTGGTCTTAGGAAGCAAAATTACAGAAACAAGACCAGCAAAACAAAAAAACAAGCTTTCAAAATCAGAGGATCTAAGATATTCACTAGTGTGCTACCTATTCAGTCATGCCAAAAACCTGTCTAAGGCCACATCACTAATTTGGAGAGTTATGAATGCACAGCATCTCATTCACAAGGAATATGCAGTCAGAATCACAGGACAGAGGGACTGAAGTTGTACAAACTCTCCATGCAGGCTCTCAGTTAAAAGGGAGGACTTCCTTTTCTTTAAAAACGTGTTTCATTATTTTTCTGGAAATAAACATTTCAGTCATACAACAGCCTAGACTACCATCATAAACACAATGTTTCAAGTGTGAAGTGATACAAAGAAAATATTTACATTAAAGTGTCAGTATAGGATAAGGTACTCAAGACCACCACCCTTCACAGAAGCCTTTAGTACACATGTACTTCTTTCACGCCAATCTACTCCATTTGTGCTGGCACGGCTCTGTCTTTGCACAGTGAACCAAATCAGCAAATCTGGCTGAGAAACAACTGGTGACTGTGTGACCACAACAGGGGAGGAGGTGCAGGAGCAAAGCCAAGCAGCAAGAAGTAAAGAACTGACAGCTTAAACTGGTTTATGAAGTATTTAACATGGAAGCCCTGCCTAAACACAACTTCTCAGTAACCTGACACATTCACAGGGTTGTGTGTAGAACACTAAGCTAATAAACATTCAGTTATGGATAGCAGAATAAATTTACATATTCTATCACTAGGACACTAATATCATAAAATAACAAGTTGGTTTCCATTTCTTTGGATTAGTTTATTGTTTGGAATGAGTATGTTCATCTGTTAAAAAGGAAATGAGGAACAATCACTCCCAATGCTTATTCAGATGTCATTCTCTGTGGCAAGGCATTATTGTTGGCAGACCAGAAGGGTGAATAGTCATACAGATGTAATCAACTTCTCACTCCAAGAGATGGAACAGAAGCAAATTGATAGGACAGGGTGAGAAAGCTGGTACAGCTGTTTCCCAAGCAATAAGCTTATGATTTTACTTCTGTAAGATCAATTATACAAATTGATGCAACATAAAATATTAACTAAAACTGAAGACTAGATAAATATTATTTCTTTAATTACTACCACCTTTAGTATATTTCAAAATAACTTGTATAAGATATCCATAGGGAAAAAGGCCTCAAAAAAAAGGCACATCACATCTCCAGTGGCTTACCTGTTGGTATAATATATGAAACTATACAGGTTCCTTCTAGTTCTGGTGGAGAACAATTCTCCTTCAAAAAGACAGACAGGACCACAGTTTCAGATGAATCTGGTTCTAAAAAAAACCACAAAATTAAATTAAGTAATAGGGGCATCCAAATGAAAGCAGCATATTTTCTGGCACTTTGAGAATTATTCTACTAAATTATGACATTTTCCCTATTAGTTCATCTTTATCAAATAACTGTACATGTCTTTTTTATAATCCTTAATTTTTAAAAGGCAAACTAGGGCCTCAAAGTATCTTGAAGCATAACCTATAAAACAATTCAACACATTGAACATGAAGAAGATGAAAAGAAATTATATTTACATTGCAATTTTAGTAATTTACAAAGTCATTTTCCCCAACCACATGTTGAGGAAATATAAGAACTGCCCCTTCAAATGAGAGTAGCAGTTAGTAAAGCTCTGTTTCAACAGGGACTAGTAACAGGGACTAGTAGTTCCCATTTCAGAGCAGAAATGGCCTGTAGTTCCAACTGAAGCAGCAGGCATATTTGACTGACCTTAAGCTCCACGTAGTCTTAAAGGCAATCCCACCTGCAGTCTTACCAGCAGAGTTGGAAAAAGGCTAAGATCCTTTAATCTATTTGAAACAATTGGTGCTACTTTGGGAACAGATGCTAGACTGTCCCCCAGTCGACAAACTTACTGTCCCTGTTTGTAGATTGAGACTGGCATTTCTACACAGACAGAAATGTCAGCAAAACAAAACAACACAGCAGAAGTACAAGAGAATAATTGAGGGGGGGTTTGCCTCCATCATGAAGCAGCTCTCTCCACCCACAACACATCATACCACAGCCAGGGGAAGAAATCCATTCCTATCTACTTCATCTTCCTCCACCAAGCAGAGTCTAGAAGCTATGGATTGCAGACAAGACAAACTTGTAATTGCTTTAACTGCTGTATATCTGCAACAATGCACTCACTGGAGGCTGGGCTATACCTTTTCAAATCTCAGAAAAAGTAATAGTATACAACAGCTGTGATGACAGTGCCATCATTTACCTAAATCATCAAAGACAAACTGGTCAGAGGTCACTGATAACGGAGCTTGCACACACACAGCCAGGCTTGGCTTCTGCGCAGTCACTCTGCTCTGGATTGTTATCTAGATCAAGGGGCATACAGAAGTATTTAAAGGAAGCAACTAATTAAACTCAACAGCAGAAAAAAAAAAAAAATCGATAATCAACAGAAAGATATGAAAAAACTACAAAGATCAATTCAGAAACAACACTTTAGGACTTGAAATTTCAAGTTCAAAACTGGTATTTTCATTTTACAGTTCTTATTTACTCACAACCAATACATGATATACAGTAACTTGAAAGATTAAAAAACCTGAGGGGACTTCTCAAGTTGTTTGTAATTTTAACTTAAGCCAAACTAAAGCAAAAGTATTAATTGAATGTTTAATACCCTGCAAGAGTCATGATCATTCATTCTAATACAAACAGCCATAAAATTTTGCAATTTTTAGATGATTATCGTGAAAAAAACAAGAATAATAAAATCAAAGATAACCAAAGAAATTATTTCCATTAATTGCAAACAGTAATGCAGTCTTCTGAATAACTCCAAGTTTTGTTTTAATTTTTAATGCAAACAAAATAAGAAAATCAATATACAGGATAGTCAGCACAACAGCTCCAGATAATAAAAGCTCAGTTAAACATAGAGTGGCCCTCATTGCTCCTATTGTGCACAGATATTATTCCACTGCAAAACAAATNATCCTTAATTTTTAAAAGGCAAACTAGGGCCTCAAAGTATCTTGAAGCATAACCTATAAAACAATTCAACACATTGAACATGAAGAAGATGAAAAGAAATTATATTTACATTGCAATTTTAGTAATTTACAAAGTCATTTTCCCCAATCACATGTTGAGGAAATATAAGAACTGCCCCTTCAAATGAGAGTAGCAGTTAGTAAAGCTCTGTTTCAACAGGGACTATTAGTTCCCATTTCAGAGCAGAAATGGCCTGTAGTTCCAACTGAAGCAGCAGGCATATTTGACTGACCTTAAGCTCCACATAGTCTTAAAGGCAATCCCACCTGCAGTCTTACCAGCAGAGCTGGAAAAAGGCTAAGATCCTTTAATCTATTTGAAACAATTGGTGCTACTTTGGGAACAGATGCTAGACTGTCCCCCAGTCGACAAACTTACTGTCCCTGTTTGTAGATCGAGACTGGCATTTCTACACCGACAGAAATGTCAGCAAAACAAAACAACACAGCAGAAGTACAAGAGAATAACTGAGGGGGGGTTTGCCTCCATCATGAAGCAGCTCTCTCCACCCACAACACATCATACCAGAGCCAGGGGAAGAAATCCATTCCTATCTACTTCATCTTCCTCCACCAAGCAGAGTCTAGAAGCTATGGATTGCAGACAAGGCAAACTTGTAATTGCTTTAACTGCTGTATATCTGCAACAATGCACTCACTGGAGGCTGGGCTATACCTTTTCAAATCTCAGAAAAAGTAATAGTATACAACAGCTGTGATGACAGTGCCATCATTTACCTAAATCATCAAAGACAAACTGGTCAGAGGTCACTGCTAACGGAGCTTGCACACACACAGCCAGGCTTGGCTTCTGCGCAGTCACTCTGCTCTGGATTGTTATCTAGATCAAGGGGCATACAGAAGTATTTAAACACTTAAATTCAACAGCAGAAAAAAAAAAAAAAATCGATAATCAACAGAAAGATATGAAAAAACTACAAAGATCAATTCAGAAACAACACTTTAGGACTTGAAATTTCAAGTTCAAAACTGGTATTTTCATTTTACAGTCTTGAAATTTCAAGTTCAAAACTGGTATTTTCATTTTACAGTTCTTATTTACTCACAACCAATACATGATATACAGTAACTTGAAAGATTAAAAAACCTGAGGGGACTTCTCAAGTTGTTTGTAATTTTAACTTAAGCCAAACTAAAGCAAAAGTATTAATTGAATGTTTAATACCCTGCAAGAGTCATGATCATTCATTCTAATACAAACAGCCATAAAATTTTGCAATTTTTAGATGATTATCGTGAAAAAAACAAGAATAATAAAATCAAAGATAACCAAAGAAATTATTTCCATTAATTGCAAACAGTAATGCAGTCTTCTGAATAACTCCAAGTTTTGTTTTAATTTTTAATGCAAACAAAATAAGAAAATCAATATACAGGATAGTCAGCACAACAGCTCCAGATAATAAAAGCTCAGTTAAACATAGAGTGGCCCTCATTGCTCCTATTGTGCACAGATATTATTCCACTGCAAAACAAATGGATTTCAAAAATATCCCTAACTCATATGTAAAATGAAAGTACAGTGGTGACTGAGATCTGAATGTGATCTGCATAGACAGGGACCATATCTCTAATATCATCTCTTTTGCATTGCTTGTCTGTGAAGGAGCTCACTACAGCCAGGTTAAATCAGTTTAGAATATTACTACTTATAGAATTACTCAAGTGTTAGGAAACTAATGTGATTAACTTAATTAGCATCAACATTGACTTAGATTGAACAATACACCAGTTATAGGAACTTATCACATAAAAAAGATTCTAGAAAAAATTGAATTCATGGTAACTCCTACATTTACTGGTTTTGTTTCACTAAAAGGTACAAGATTCATAAACAAGAAAAGAGAATGGGGAATTAATTATGTCTTCCCATTAAAAAGCTTATAAATAAATAAATACATAATTAATTTGAACTTCTTTAAGCAGATTTATCACTGATTTTATCAGAATATATCTGATAAATATATATAAATATATAATATATATATAAATATATATATATAAATATAATATATATATATTTATATATAAATATAAATACATCCATTTTATCCTGTATCATTTTTAGTACTTAAAAATGCAGAGAAACATGTTGAACCAAGTACAAGTAAACCACACTAGTCTGAGCGCATCTGATTCAAACACTTCAGTTATCCTCTGAATTTTTCACTCTAGGCAGAAAGAGAACCTGCCAGGTTCTCAAAAATGAAACTCCACTGATATTCTTAGAAGATCATCCTAAAGTCAAAAATAAAAATCATGATCCTTTTTAGGCAGTACTGAGGAAAACTAGCACGTGCACACATTTTCTTCACAATCAGTTACAGGCACCAGCTCTCATGAAGATCTTCAATTTTCTAATTAGATTTTCCTACTTCTTTTTCAATTGCTAACATTATGAAAGTCTTTTTACAAAAGAAAGTCTATTTTTATTTTATTGACAACTAAAAAGGCAGCTGAAAATTATAAATGTCCTATTTGAGTAACCAAACATTTATGGCTGTCAGAAAAAATATTCTCATTACTTCAAAAATTATTTCATTCCATCCTGATGTTTCTGTGATGGCTTATTGATAAGCCTATCAAAAATAAAACTGCAATCATTTTCTGACTGTAGCAGAAGGCTTGCCAGAATGGCACCATGTCATACTAAGGAGAAAAAAAAATTAAGTATATATTGCATTTCAAACTTCACTCATTTTCACGTTCTAAGTGAAATACACAGAAAGTGACCAGCTTATTACAATTTGCCACCACCATTCAAATGCTGCTGTTCAAGTTAGGCACAGTACCTTTACTGTGACTGATGGTACAGCCCCTGCTTTTACCTCACTGTCAATGGCTTGCTGTGAAGAAAATGATGAAAACAGAGTAAATTCAATGTTCCACATGAACAAGAAAACACAATAAAAGCAATATTGCTTTCCTACCATCAACTTGATAAACACAGAATTAACATTAAAGGACTTATCATTCCTATGACAGATTAAAATACACAAAACACATTCTGAGTTCCTTCTGAAAATGTGAAGCCTCTGTTTGAAATTCCCTGCAAAAAGGATAGCAAAAGGTCATGAATGTTGTACATGTAAGAAACTAATACACTCTGATGTATATACAAATATTTGAAACTGTTTTGTTTGGCACACTACTTTTCACTGTATATTTATTCAAATTCGGGAAATACCTTCTGTTGTTCAGCAGAGAAAGATGGCTTCCAATCTGCCAATATATTATATACACAACATAGCATCTACTATAAAATCACACACTATTTTATAATCAGAAATATACCTGAAACTTCAAAAGAAAATTCTAGCAGGCACTTCATTTCAATTCCTGCTAATTTCTATTTCAATAGGCAATTCCATCTACTTCAAAATTTATCTTGGCCTTGTGGTCTATTTTAGTTTTATTTTATGCTTATATTTCATATTGAAAACAGGTCAGTTACCACTGTTAAAGTTTAAACTATTATAAAGAAACACTTCTCTGACTTCTGCTATAATACCAAATTACTGATTTGAACTTATGCCTTGTCATTATAAAAAAGTAAATGAAAAACAGTATAAGGACCACATCTGCAAAGCTCCTAAGAAGTCAGGAGGCTGGTAGGCTCTCTGGGTTCCGGAAGTAGGACTTTCATTTGTACATTGTGCACCTTTCACAACCTAAAAAATAGAGATACTTTCATATTGTCATACTCTCTGGTGACCAGTGGATGATTCTGAAAAAATAGCAGGATATAAGGATAGGGAACCTTACCATATTCAGCCTTCAAAATCACCTGGATTTCCTGAATCAGAGGCCACACACCGGAGGTGGTGTTAAATAACAGAACTGTCCTCCACTTACTTATCTACACAATATTAATACTCTATATCCTCTTTGCTTTTATCACACACATTGCAATTTCAATCTTTTCACAAGTGCAGAAGTAGCACTGAAAATTCTGTAGTTCCAAAGGTAACTGTAGAAGCCCTAAAATCATTCCTACACTTGCTTATTGATCCTTCCCCACAAAGTAGCATATCAGATTTTTTCTTCCTAGGCAGCTACTGAAAGAACCCACAGAAAAGCCAGCCACACAGGAAACTAAGATGTATGGGCAGATAAAGATTCCAGGCTGTGGTCTGATTGATGGACTGAATTACACATGAAACAGACCAGTTGCATCTGGAAGGTTGAGCAAAGGAGCATAGCAGCATTAGAGCATTCTGTACACCTAATGGTTCCAAATGTTGAGAGGAGATTATTGCAGCTAGCCAAGACCTGCTCTTTTTTCCACAGAGAAGAGCACTAAGGACATTGGCATACATTATAAAGAGGTCCATCTATCAAAGAATAATATCCTTATGTATTTTTTAAACAGTAAGTAGCTGTGAAAAATCATTTTTGCCGGAATTAGTGGCCATAAATGGATAATGTCGTAGTGCAACATGTATGTTCTGAAATACTTAAAGTGAAGAGTTTTAAGAGACAATATAAGCTCTCCCAAATCTTAATTTGAATTATTTTTGTAAACTACGTATGTATATAACATGAATAAACTAATTAGGCTGCAACACCAATGAATATTGAGTGACTGGCTGTCAGAGAAAGATTTTTTACAATGCAGCTTGAGTGGTTTGAGTACTCTGTCTTTGAATGATCCAAGGATGACATTTCAACTGTTTCCCATAATGTTTACAACTGCTCACCAGTACAGCTTTTCACCATTACAAAGTTATTCCAGACTCAAAGTTCTTCCTCACTTATGGTTTCTTAGCCAAGAATCTAAAGGTTCCTGGGCAGAAGACAAATAAATAAATTTAATAATTCTAGTTAAAATCTCTAATAAAAGTGGGTTCTCCTTCATAGAAAACTGAGGGCCATGAAGTTTGGTCACACAAATGTGAATAGTAATCACTGTGCACAATCAGTCATTATTTACTCATCTGAAATCAATGGGTTTTTTTTCAGAATAATTTCCTTTTTAAATGGGTACATACAGATTCTTCATCCAAATCAGGTGAAACTTCTGCTGTGACAGTTACATCTCTCTGTTTTTCAGATTCAGGCAGAATATCTGAAAGAAAAAAGCAAAATCAAATCAGTTCTTCTTTAAGAAATAGTCAGCTACATTCCTAAGAATAATACAATTTCAACAGCATCAAGTCTCAAAGTTACACCTCTACACCTAGGAGCATAAAGAAGAAACAGCAATGTGTATGATTTTGGAAACTTCCAAAAAAGCAAATTTATTAGATTTCTATAGACAACTTAAATCTGAATCGCATGCCAGGTTTTATGTATGAAAATTGATTTAGGTGCATTCTATAACAAGATTTTACACATAATATCCATGATCTTCAGAGATTGTAAGGTATTTTTAAACTTTCATCCTTGCATGCAGATGCCAATATACAATGAATAACTACCTCCAAAATAACACCACACATCTCATAGCACTTTAATCTAAATAATTTGATAGTGAATATGTTAAACAAAGATTCTGTGTCTAACAGTCTAATCTTCAGCAAATTCCTCTGCATTAGGAGGTACATCAAAGTTTTATGCATCATGTATATCAAAGATCATTACATGCAGCTTGATTAAAATATGTCAACAGATGATTTTCAGGACTGTCAACATGCAAGGCAAAGAATGCTACAAACTGACTTATACAAAACCTTATGCCAATGCATATTTTTTGCACATGCAAAAAAAAGTTATACAAATTAAAGCCTTAAAAACCTTGAGGAATTACATAACCTTCTCTTGAGAGTCCAGAAGTACAGCTCTGGGGTATTTGCATATTTCTGAAGAACACTTCTAGTTTTTTTACAACACTAAATGTATTGGAAAATGAAAAATCTGAACAGGAAATATACACTTCCTAAAATAACGAGGAAAGAGTTGCTGTAAAGGGACAATTAACATATTAACTGAATAACTGAGAGTGTGAGCACATTTAGAAAGCTGCAAGAATTTTATTACACACAGGGTCCTGAAAATATCTAGAACTAGTAGACAGCACATTGTCTCTTTCTAACAAGAGGGTCAAGGGAAAAGATTTTGAAGACGACAGAAAAAAAGTATTCATTTTCTTGTGCTCAGAGAGAAATGCCTCTCTTTACTATGAGAGAGAAAAGTAAAACCTAAACACACTTCTCCAATACCACCTAGAAAAGAAGTTTAGGTCTATTTGATACTGCCACAATTGCAAAGAACTGCCAATTACATATAGCACAGCACAGTCCATTCTCTTTCTATCCCTTCTTAACCATTTCTCTTCTGGTTGCTTCTTCAAGCTAACTATGATGCACCCTCTATCATATACTCATTTTTCTATTAGAAGTACAACAGAGATCACATTCAAAGATTACATAAAAGTATCAGCTTTTTGTTACTATTAAACTTAGCCAAAACACGTATGTTTAATCACTTATGTCATCCAGACTAATGCAAGTAACATTAGATTTTAGTTAGTATAACAGTTAAGATTTTAAAATATTTCATCAGTTTATATTGTAAATCCTTATTCTTCAAAATGTATAAAACAGCTTAAGTTCAACAGTTTAATGGTCAGCACTGGACAGAAATACAAGACATTTATGGAAATAACTACTCTAAGGTTTTTTTAATATGATGACCTAATTCTAAATACCTTCCACATTTGAAAGACAAAATGAAACAAAGAAAAATTATTTCCTTATAAGGGTAGATATTTTCACACACAAAACAACACAAGCTCTGACTGCACAAGCATGAATTCAAAAGTCAAGAAAGTCAACAGGTCATTTTAAAGATTGTGCTTAGGAGTACTTAACGGCAACCAAGGTTCAAGCTAAGAAAAAATAAAGCCAAGATGAAACAATGCCAAAACATCCAAAACTGACAGATATTCTTCATAAGTAAAATGTTTGTTGTATAAAATGTTCTCATACAAGTTTTACATCCAGTTAAAACCAAATACAACATCATTAGGGCATTTCTCTACAACAAAAAGAGCATTCATAAAAAACTCATCTGAAAACACCACTTAGATCAGGGTAGACAAACTGAGGAAGAAAAGGAAATTAAGAAAAAAGAATGGTGAAAGAATAAAAAATATTGATAGTAGATTTATCAGTCATACCATGACAGTTATTACAAAATTTGAAAAGGACAGCTACAATTCCTTTCTCTCTCCTTTGATCTTCCAGACAACATGTTGAAACTAACAAGCTAAAGTTGATTTACTTCAAATGGATTTGTTCTTTCCATCATGGGTTTTTTGACTTTGGTTATGATAGACAGACAAAATTGTCAAATACCTATAAGGATGGACTGTGGTAAAAATCAGTGGAATTTATCCACATCTATATGCTTAAATAACACGTTAGTAGATTTGGAAAATTAAAATCCTGATATAAGTCTACCGTTATAATGGATGAAGTTATATGTAATTACAAAACAAAGAAATCTTTGTGTTGTAAAATCAAACTCATGCCTGAAGATAAATAATTTTTATTTTCTAGGAATTTCAATGGCAAGGTTTTTCACTTTTCTTTTTTTCATATAGAAAACACCATGAATATTTCTTTAATGCATTTTAAGAATATGTTACCTATCATCAAGGAAAAAAATTAATTTGTTCTGTTTGTTGAATATTTTTCCATAGCTCCCTGTAAAATCACATGCTTCCAAATCCCTGTGCAAGCCAGGCTGTTTAAAAACACAGTTATGAAAACATAAACTTTGAAGGAACTCTGTAGAAATTATGTGCCCTGATTTGAATCAAATTAATGCAATTTATTAGCAATGTATATGAATTCCAGAATCATCATCAGATATGTCACTCTGTTCTACAAATATGCTCTTGAATAGTTAAACCAACAGAAAAATTGCTTTAAAAAAAGTAATTTTGTTCATTTCATAACTTAAAAAGACATTTGTATTTATAAAAAGAATTTGGCAATACTTTTACTCACTCTGAAGCCTAACTACATCAGACTGTTGAACTTCAAGTTTTCTTGCCTTTGGGTAATCCATGTACTGTCAGTTTTAATTCTGAACCCTTGAACTAGTGAGAATTATCTGCAACCTGATGTAAACATATTTAACCTTTCAACAGCATTATGAAAATACAAAGAAAAAACCCTTTATTCAAGGGCTTTACTGTCTAAAGTTTATTTATTTATTTTTCTTAAATACTAAATTTTCTACAGAAATATAACTATGGGTAAAGTGTGAAAATAAAATATTTTAAAGTGCTAAAAAGGTATGTAAAATTATAGAAAAAGAAAGAAGTATACCTTGCATTTTTGTGGCCTCCCTGATGATTTTCTGAAGCTCTTTCATTTCAGCATTCATTTCTTCATAGTTTATTTCCCTAGAATCAACCTTAGGAGCCTGGAAGAGTGAAGGATCAGTTCCAAGGTATGAACACTGAAGATGACCATCATCACTCAGAGTGACTATAACACCCTTCAAGTCTCTGCATGGAAAAAACAAAGCTTACTAAGAAATTCAGAAGAATCACAGAAGTAATAACATTAATAATGATATGTAATCCTTAATTCAGACATCTTCATTAATATTTCTCCCACTTGGTGCAATCATACCTAATAATGGATTCGTCTTAGATGACTAAAGTGCCCTTAGAATCTGTGAATCTGTACAATCAAGAGAGGTAATGGAAAGGATCAGAACAAACAAGCTAAATAGACCAGACAGTTGTAACTTATTTATTCATCTAAATCTTTGAAGTTGCAATATTTAGGTTACTAAGCAGGAAAAGGAATTTGCTAACTGGAATAGAAGGGAAGGGAAGGAGGGGTTAGAAGAAATCATGAACAGATGGAAGATGCTCACAAAGAAGACAGCTTTAGGGCTTTGATGGTATCAATAGCTCCCCTAACCAATTCTTTGGCTGCTATTGCAGCTACTGTGCTGGCTTCAAACACTGGCTGGCTGCTGCCTGCAGTATCCATCTGAAAGGAAACCACATGGATCCAGAGCATTCCCCTTACACTCCTCTGAATCAATACAAGTGAGTGTTTTATTAGATACGCTATAGTCTCTTATGTCATGGGAAAAGTTCTTCACTGCTCCTACAAAAATCCCACTCTTTCTGTGTATCTGATTTGTACAAAGAAAATGCAAGATTTAGGAAAGTATTTAACAAACTATGAGACAATAGGGACTACTGCCAGCATTTTGCATAATTGGAACCTTATTCCTAACAGAAGAGAAAATGAACAGTAAAGACTAACATAGAAGTTAACAGGAGCATAAACTTCCACTTTGTTTTTTTAAAATACCAACTTTTAATTAAATTAAAAGACTGTATTTCCTTTCATAATCTCAACATTACACATTTATGCCACTAATTTGCTCTTATTCCATCCTTGGAATACCTTATAGCAGATACTACCTTTGCATCAAACACAACTGCCATAAAAATCAAAGACAGATCAAGCTTAATTCTTAGATAGAGAAAGTGATTTGGACAAGAAGGCCTAATTCACTATCACACTAATTAAACCCTTGTATTCAAGATATAATTTATACAGAATTAACAAAAAATATTTTAACTTGTGCATACCAATACCTTACAAATGCCTCCTCTAGTACAATAAAAATGCAGGTATGTAAAAGCTATGTAAAAGAAATAGAATTCTCTCTGGTTTCTTACATGGTCTTGTAGCATGGCTCCAGAACGCACAGATAGGAAACCTCAATCCAAAATTTTCCAACGTAATATTAATTACAAAAGCCAACCGATGTCGCAGATTAATTTTGACCACTGATGGTCCAATTGTACCGCTCAAAATGTCATTTTATAGCATACTAAGGCCACAATCCCAGTGCTGGTTTTACAGCTGCAACTGAATAATCTGGAAAACCTATGCTGTAACTGAGACATCTGAACTCTGTACAGTCATAACTGCACACAGGAATGAAGACCCTAGTGGGCACTATACAAGTAAGTAATTGCCATAGGTAAGTTTAAGCCTTCTCTTTCTACACAAAGCAATTGTTACCCAGTGAAAGAAATAAATCTTGCTGAATTATGAATGTACAGAAACTGCTTTGACTTTTTTGGACAACAGGTACCTCCAGTCAGCCCTCCCCTGAAGCTGAAACATGCAAATCTGAACGGCCTTCTGGAACAGAACACCATAAAAGGGCTCAAACACAATGTCCTCCTTATCTACCATATAAGCTCATCTTAAACAGAAAGAGTCTTCTTTTTTGGGACCACTGCTTACTGCCACAGAAAAGCTTCCACCTATCACTGCAATTTTTAACATGCAATATTTCAGCATTCCCTACCAAAAAGTTAGCAGGAAGCTTTGTGAGCACCATAAGGCTGGAGATGCCAAGACTTCCCCAACATATACTTGAAGAAAAGAAAGTGGAAGACTTAATACTGATTTTCAACTTACATATCCAGTACCTGTGCTAGCAGCAGCCATCCTGTGAACATCATGACCTTTTTATGACCTGTGAGCTCAGGTTTTGCATCCTAAAGTGACTTTCTGACAAACAGCAAACTATCAGCAGGAACTGGAACTAAACATGAGTCCTCGTTTCTCTCACTACTTGAATGTTTGGTTTTGGTTATAGTTGGTTTCATTGCTCAGGGCTGGGTCTCTTGTTTTAATTACATGCAGAACTACCCATTCTAATTTTCTTATGTCCAAAAAGCTCTGTACAACACAAACCTGTGCTACATTTACAGAAGTCTGGATGGCACACTAAACAAATACACTGGGCTACCCCCAAGTTCTCTTATATGAGCAATGGTAGGAGACAGACTATTATGAATCCTTGCACCACAACATAATCTTAGTAAGGCATACAAATCACACCTAATGTACAGGATTTTGTCAACACCTACCAAAGGTTTGCAAGGAGCTTTGCCATATTGGTCAGGGATTCTGCAAAGTCTTTAAAAATGAGGCATTGTTGAAGCAGATGCTAGCATGCTACCAAATACACTGCTCCACTTTTTGCTATCAAATAATGACCTCCTTTTTTCTTTTTTTTTTCTTTTTTATTTCGTTAAAGGAGTGGGGGGGCACAACAAGAGAAACAGCATCAGGAGCTTTTTCCTACAACTAGAGAATGAAAACTTCTGAAAACAAGATAATTTCTAGAATTGTCCAGCAACAGCTTTGGATGATCTCAATTTTTTTTTCCCAAAAGTATGCATCTGTTAATCTAATAAGGAAAGATCCATGAGGACATCTGAATGTAAATCAAAAGAGCATGAAGAAATATAGCTAAAAAGCAATAAATCTTTGATGATATACTACTATGGTATAATACATTCAAAAATGGTTTGTAAATACAGCCCTTCCTATACACATTTAAACTGGCAGTTATCTACAGCTAATCACTCTATCAAATAAGATTAATTTACATCAATGAGGTGATTTACCTATGTAAAATATGCTTGGCGTAGCTTCCGAGTCAGAACAACAGAGTGCACATTAAGAAACTCTACCTTTAACTCATTTCAACTGGCTTTTCTGATAGTCATGACATCCTTAAAATCTACACAATCTCAGAGTCTAAAATAGTAGTTTAAGAAAGCAGCATTACAAATGCACTACAAATACACTTTTCCTTTACTTCAGTTAGTGTTCTGCTGGGTCCCAAGAAGATTGTTCAACATGAAACATAAGTATATTAAAAAAAAAAATATTTCTCAGTAATCTTCCCTTGTTAAAAGCAGTCCATGAATTTGCACATCAGTAGAAACAATAAGAAAAATATTGGTAAGCAGTTCTAATATATTTTTTTATAATACATTCATTTCTCTGCTGGAATGTTTGTCAGCCAGTCAAAATTGCATTATTTTATCAATCTTTTTTAACAGTGGCTAAGGACAGCAGGGGAAGGGGAAGCATATTTAACAGTTTTATAGTAGTTTCCCCACAGCTACTGCTCTCACACAATATCCCTGCAAGTACCATTACTTCATTTGGCACATTTTGCATACAATCTGGAATTTCAATTACTTGTTGAATTTCTTTTATTTTAAGCTATTTATTTTTTTACTATGTATCACACAATAGTCAGAGTAATAATAAATCTAAGGGGACATTTTAACAGCGAGGAACTCAAAGTATAAAACAAATTATTCTGATATCTAAAATAACTTTACAGTACAAAGCAGCTTCTACACACATATGGTAATAATTTGAAAAACTATCTTTTATTGGATTCTGGGTAATAATAATGGCATATGCTTTTTGTAGGTCTTCTCTTACTAAACAAATTGCTCACAACATAGTTCTTGAGGAAATTAAAATGCTTTGCATGTTTCCAGTTATATAAGACCAAACTGATCACTCAAACAGTGATTTAGAAGTTGAATCTGTAGTTCTGAGTTTTACTTGAATGACATCCACTAAGCTTCGGACAACTCTTAGGACAAGGTTTGGTTATTGACATGATTTGCAGCTTTAATTATTTATATTAGCTCATAAAATTTCTAATTCAGTTTCAGAAGTAGTCTTAATTGCTGTTACTCAAACCAACCATTTTAGAAAACAAGATTCTCTACAATACTACTTTCTCTTCCTTATCGATAATGAATTATTTAAAAACAACTAAATTAGGAAACTAATTCCTGGAATTGTGCTCAAGCATTTTAAATCCATTTCTCTCTTCATTTTATCACCCTCTGAGGTAATTATAAGCAAGAGGATACCTCAATAGCACTTTTTAGTTTAGTGTTTTTTAAAAGCTAATTTATTCTAAGTTCACTACCATTTCAGTGTCATTTTAAGCCGCAGCTATGTGAAGTATTTGATAAAACACTGAAGAAAGATCAGACTAGGAATAGCTAACTATAAGAATTTTCTAACATGAACTAATGGGAAGAATAGTAAAAAGCCCATCATACTCTTACTAAAAAAACATTCCAAAATCTCAAGTACCCCCACATCTGAATATTCGAAGTAAATCCAGTGTGACTCAATGCAAGCTACGACTGATGTCTAACTGTCCCGCACATCTATGGAGCACTCTAAGGCTTCTTTGAGGTGCTTTCCTCAGCAAAAAAATCTTGGTTCAACTTATATTAGAAGTAATGCTCATATATGTAAGCCTTCCTCATTCTGCTATTATACATGAAAACAGACAATCTAATAACTCTGAGAAATCAAAATTTTTTTTCAACTATTTATATATTTAACATCCTTTGCACACTCTGCAGAGGGCATGCAAACAAATAATGTAAATAAAGTGCTCAAATATAATTATTTAACAGTATGTAATTATATTAAACAGCATAAAGTGGCTGCTTTACAGAAAAGCATTCATCTTTCCCATTTGTATATCACCTTAGGATGTCTGAACTTAACAGAAAACCATATACTAATCTAGATTAAAAAATTATGAAACACATGCAAGAAGAAGACAGAAATGAAACATCATTTCATCTTGAAACTCAATGGAAAAGCAGTTAAAAAACAGAAG